GTCCACGACCTGACGTGCCCCTACACTCCGCAGCAGAATGGCATGGCTGAGCGGGAGATGCGCACGGCCGTCGAGTCCGTGCGGACGATGTTGCTGCACATGGGCGTGCAGCACCATTGGTGGCACCTTGCTCTACGACAAGCTGTCTGGGTGCGCAACTGCTTGGAGCGGTCGACGACGCCGCCGGGGACGACTCCGTACCAGCTGCTAACCGGGCAGAAGCCCGACCTTACGCTGGCGCGGGTGTGGGGCTGCATGGTGCAGTTCATGATTCCCGAGCAGCAGCGTGGTGGGAAGCTGGCGCCGAAGGCTTGCTGGGGACTTCACCTGGGTGTGTCGCCAGCAAGCAAGGGCTGGGAAGTGCTCGACCTGACCGACAACAAGGTGGTCACGTCGGTCGAGGTGATCTTCTACGAGACGCTGTCGCTGGAGGTGTGGAAGGCGAAGTATGGGCCAGCGTCGCAGCGGACGCAGGCGCACCCGCCAACGGATACATCTACAGCGCCGGTTCCGTTGCTCGCCGAAGTCGACGGACCCGGTGATGAGGCTGTTGTGGAGGCTCTTTCTCCTTCCCCTGTCTTTGCTCCTCCGTTCCCCGTCGCAAATCGGCTTGGGTCGGCACCTGTGTCGCCCACCGTCGATGAGGGGAGCCTTGAGGCGTCGCCTGTGGCGCCGGCCCATGGCATCGCCGGCGGTCGACAAGGCGCCAAGCTCGTCGACCAGGATGGGAAGCCGTCGACGACAGGGGAGCACCAGACAGGGGAGCCGGTCGAACAGGAGGCAACGACAGGGGTACACTCGACGGGGGAGCAGCAGTCGGATCGGCCGACAGGAGAGTTGTCGAAGGCAGCAGCAGACGAAGAGCCGGTCTAAGGGTCGAAGCAGCTGGTCGATGACGTTCTCGTCGACGAGAAAGGGGAGCAGTCGGCGGGTGAGGAGTCCACCGACAGCGACGTGACGGAAGTGCCGATCACGAAGCCTGAGCTGCGACGCTCAGGTCGAGCTCGACGGCCGCCGGAGCGGTTGAGCTTCCACGCCTGCCTACCGCCAGCTGCCTTCACCACGGTGTACGACGAGGTCGACGACGACTTGCTGTACGACGATGCCGAGGAGGATGAAGACCTGTCGGAGCTCGACCCCGACGTGCATGCTGACCCCGAACATCGCTGGGACATTGCCACGATGACGGTGAAGGAGGCGCTGTCGAGCTGGAAGGGCGAGGCGGTGAAGGCCGCCATGGAAGAAGAAATCCGTAGCCTCATCGCTATGGGGACTTGGGAGCTGGTCGAACGCCCATGCGGGGTGAACATTATGAAGAACCGATGGGTGCTGACGACCAAGTACCACATCGACGACACCGTCGAGCGCGAGAAGGCGAGGCTGGTCGTAAAGGGCTTCACGCAGGTGTACGGCGCCGACTACGACGAGACGTACTCACCGGTGAGCAGCTACGTCACGCTGAGGATCTTCCTCAGCATCGTCGCCGTCCTCGACCTCAACCTGATGCAGCTCGACATGAAGAACGCTTTTCTGCAGAGCAAGCTCGACAGGGTGCTCTACATGTACCAGCCGGACTACTTCGACGACGGGACCGGCCGGGTGTGTAAGCTGCTGAAAAGCCTCTACGGGCTGAAGCAGTCGCCGCTGCTGTGGTACAGGGCTCTTGATGGTGTGCTGCTGGGCGCTGGCTGGAAGAAGAGCCAGGTCGACGAGGCGCTCTACTTCAAGACTAGCGACGACGGTCTGACCTGCTGGGTGTTAGTCTACGTCGACGACCTGCTCGCCGCTAGCAGTAGCACCGCGATGCTGAAGGAGCTGAAGGAGCTGCTGGAGGCCGCCTTTGAGCTGCGTGAGATCTCGCCGGTGGAGAAGTATCTTGGGCTGGAGATCGTGCGCGACAGGCCGGCCAGGAAGTTGTGGCTGCACCAGCAGGGCTACGCCGACAAGCTGCGCAGGCGCTTCGTCGACGAGGAGCAGGGCGGTCGAGTCCCGAAGACGCCGGTCTCGGTCGACGCCTACGCTCAGCTGACGTTCGACGACGAGGAAGCTCAGGAGCGCGAAGAGGAGGAGTACCGACAGAAGGTCGGCTCGCTGCAGTTCGCGGCGACGACGACGAGGCTGGACATTGCATTCGCCTGCAGCAAGCTAGGGAGCGGCCTCACGGTGAGGAGCGACCAGCATTGGCGTGAGGTCGACCGTTGCCTCGCCTTCCTTGCCGACACCCGCGACACCGCCCTGGAGTTCGGCGGTGGACCAGAATCGTTGGAGCTGATCGGCTACGTCGATGCCGACGACGCGGGCGACAAGCAGAACCGGACGAGCACGGGAGGCTACGTGTTCGTCTATGGAGGGGCCGCCATCTCCTGGTCGAGCTCGCGCATCAAGTGCGCAACATTATCATCGACTGAGTCGGAGTACGTGGCGGCCACGGATGCCGGCAAAGAGGGCCGTCGACTTCGCTTCCTCCTTGCGGAATTCAAGCTGCTCGATGCTGGGAAGCCGACCATCCTCCGCGTCGACAACAAGTCGGCAATCACTGTCGCTGAGGGCTTGGGGCTAACGGGCAACCTCAAGCACATGGAACGACGCTACGCGTGGCTGCAGCACATGGTGAGGCGCGGGAAATTTGTGCTGAACTACATCCCGACCACCGAGCAGCCGGCGGATTTCCTGACGAAGGCGCTGCATTTTCCGGCTTTCAACCGGTGCTCTGTCGCCATCGGACAAGTTCGTCTGGTCGACGTCGGCGACGGCGACGACGAGGTGCAGCAGTAGGTGCCGTGCCCTTCTGCACGGCTGGTGCGGTGACGGCGTGCTGTGTGTGGGGTGCACGCCGAGGACGAGTTCTCTCCATGGAGTACTGCCGTGAGGGCTGGAGGCCCAAGCGTGAGCGCGGCAGGGGAGTGTTAACGGGAATGAAGTGTTGGCCCCGCCCTCGCTTGGGCAACGCCGACAACTTGGTCGGATGTACGGAAGTAGCAGCCGACTGCTCACAGTGGGATAGCTGCTCGACAGGTTACGTCGAGCTGCAGTGGACCACTGTGGTGTTGCTGTCGACCAGGATGCTCGACAGCTGCACCTGACTGGCCTGGGCGACGGGTGAGCCGTCCGGGAGGTCAACGGAGCATCCCGTCGAACTGCAGCTCGACCGGGAGGTCAACGGAGCGTCCCGTCGAATTGCAGCTCGACCGGGAGGACAACGGAGCATCCCGTCGAACTGCAGTTCGACCGGGAAGTCGACAGAGCAGTTCTGGTCGACGGAAGGGGTCCGTCGACCAAGGGGTAGCTTGACGGGAGGTGTGGTCGACCAGGAGCGCCCGGTGGTCGACCAGAGGGACCCAGTGGTCGACGGGAGGCACCTGGGAGTCGACCAGAGCACCAGGGGTCGACCAGGTCGACCGGGTAACCTGCTCGACGAGTTCTGCGGAGGCACGCGAACGTCGTCGAGATCGCGATGGCGCAGGCGACTTCGGGCTGGTATCCCGAAGTCGATGTGGCTCGTCAGGCGCAGACAAACAGCCGACGGATGCCCAACGAGGCAAGTCGGGCCAATCGTCTGCGCACACCTGTGAGCGCGCGCACTGCTGTGTTCTACGGGGCACGCCGTCGACCTGCTTTGTTGGCAGGTCGCCCTTCTGCAGTGCTGGCGCGGCTCCTCTACGCAATGCTGGCAGGCGGTCGACCGAGCTGCGCTGGCGGTCGACCAGGCTGGCTGCAGGGTTGCTAGGTGCCTGATGTAGTCATTGTTGTCATTGCTTCTTGATTATTCTGGAATTCCAACTTTGCTAGTGAAAACTCTTGCCAAATTCTTCCGTGAATGTGCAAACACTAAGGAACTAAGCAAAGCTAAGATCACCTCTAGTAGTTCGTGCCAACCCCTGTAGTCTAGCTCACTACCGTTGTAGAGTTAATCTCCACAGCGGTTTCACTACTTAGGGGCCCCGCCATGGACTAGTGGCGAGTCATTGTGACGTCGCCGCGCGCCTACGAGCCACCGTCGCACGAGGAAGGGCCCTCGGGTCCAGCTGTTACTTGGAGTTCGTTCTGCGAAACCGCCCAATACAGCACGTGGGATGCGTGGTGCGCAGGGCTTCGGGCGCGCTTTGAGCCGATCGCGGCCTCGATTTCGGCGCGTCAGAAACTGCGCACTTGGCGCCAGCTCGGGTCAGTTCAAGACTACACTAGCGGGTTTCTCGCACTTTGCGAATTGGTCGGCTACATGCACGAGGCGGAGCGGGTGGACCGTGTGAAAATAGTAGAAGGTGGGGCCTAGGCTTAGTAGCCTAGGCCCACACTAGGAGGTAGGCAAGGTGAGTTCGAGTGGGGTTTCTCCTAGGGGAGAGTATCGAGAAATTGGAAGGGAAGTGATTTCACTAGCAAGAGTTGGGATACAAGTACAAAGCCCCAAATGGGGTTGTAGTCATTACAGAGTACCCCACTGCAGGCTAGACAGCAAATATATTCTGACACACCCCCATAGCCAAAGTGGGGTGTAATCAGCAGAGCAGGCAAAGTAGTAGAAGCTCAGGGTGGATCACAATGTCACCACACATTCTGAGCACAAGTTAAAGAAGCAATAGTTAAAGTGCACAATTATCAGCAAAGCTAGTGGTGGTCACAATGGGCAAGTGAGGAGGAGGAGGGAGAGTGAGAGAAGAGGAGATGGGAGGCGACTGCTGAAGCTGCAGACACACGGGCAACAGGAGCGGCTGGCACAGTGGCTACCGGGACAGCGCCCCGGACTACTGGAGTAACTGGCTCGGCGGCTACGAAGAGCGGCAGGAGCAACGGACCCACGGGCGACAGGCGCAGCAGGCTCACTGGGCTACCAGGACAGCGCCCCGGACTACAGGTGCTGCGGACTACAAGACGGCAGCCTCCGCTCAACCTCCCACAAACAGTTCCACCCCCCTGACACACACCCGCTGCTACACCCCTAGCTCCACTCCCACGCACCCCCCTTAAACCCTAAACCCCAGTCTCCCACACAACCACCCCCCTCAGCGACAGCTGCAGCAGTGGGAGACGACGAAGGAGGAGAAGGAAGGGGCGACACAAACGGAGCACCCCCACACCCGCAAACGGGGGGGGGGGGGGGGGGGGGGGGGGGAACAGTGCGCACGAGGGCGCAGACAGTAGCAGAGCGCACGAGGGCGCGAGCACGAGGCACGGGCAGCAACAGGCACGGGCAGCACAGGCACGGGCAGCACAGGCACGGGCAGCACAGGCAGCACAGGCACGGGCAGCACAGGCACGGGCAGCACAGGCACGGGCAGCACAGGCACGGGCAGCAACAGGCACAGGCAGCACAGGCACGGGCAGCACAGGCACGGGCAGCACAGGCACGGGCAGCACAAGCACGGGCAGCAACAGGCACGGGCAGCACAGGCACGGGCAGCACAGGCACGGGCAGCAACAGGCACGAGCAGCAACAGGCACGGGCAGCAACAGGCACGGGCAGCACAGGCACGGGCAGCACAGGCACGGGCAGCACAGGCACGGGCAGCACAGGCACGGGCAGCAACAGGCACGGCAGCACAGGCACGGGCAGCACAGGCACGGGCAGCACAGGCACGGGCAGCACAGGCACGGGCAGCACAGGCACAGGCAGCAACAGGCACAGGCAGCACAGGCACGGGCAGCAACAGGCACGGGCAGCACAGGCACGGGCAGCAACAGGCACGGGCAGCACAGGCACGGGCAGCATAGGCACGGGCAGCACAGGCACGGGCAGCACAGGCACAGGCAGCACAGGCACAGGCAGCACAGGCACGGGCAGCACAGGCACGGGCAGCACAGGCACGGGCAGCACAGGCACGGGCAGCACCGGCACGGGCAGCAACAGGCACGGGCAGCACAGGCACGGGCAGCACAGGCACGGGCAGCACAGGCACGGGCAGCACAGGCACGGGCAGCAACAGGCACGGGCAGCACAGGCACGGGCAGCACAGGCACGGGTAGCACAGGCACGGGCAGCACAGGCACGGGCAGCAACAGGAACGGGCAGCAACAGGCACGGGCAGCACAGGCACGGGCAGCAACAGGCACGGGCAGCACAGGCACGGGCAGCACAGGCACGGGCAGCACAGGCACGGGCAGCACAGGCACAGGCAGCACAGGCACAGGCAGCAACAGGCATGGGCAGCACAGGCACGGGCAGCACAGGCACGGGCAGCAAAGGGCGTACCGGGTCCAGGGGCGGCTGCTGCTGGGGCGGCTGCACCTGGGGCTGCTGCTGCAGGAGCGGCTGCTGCAGTGACGGCTCCAGGGGCGGCTGCTGCTGGGGCGGCTGCTCCATGGGCTGCTGCTGCAGTGGCGGCTCCAGGGGCTGCTGCTGCAGGGGTGGCCGTTCCTGGGGCTGCTGCTGCAGTGGCGGCTCCAGGGGCTGCTGCTGCAGGCTCTGGCGGTAGCTGCTGCTGCTGGGCGGCGGCGGTTGCTGCTGCAGAGTGGCGGCGGCTGCTGCTGCTGGTAGAGCGGCGGCTGCTGCTGCAGAGCGGCGGCAGCTGCTGCTGCAGGCGCGGTGGCAGCAGCTGCTGCAGGCCTGGCGGCGGCTGCTGCTGCTGGGTGGTGGCGGCCGCTGTTGTAGGCTCTGGCGGCGGTTGCTGCTGGCTCTGACGGCGCCCCGCGGATCCTGCACGAACGTCGCGACGAGCAGGGGCGACGCCCCGCGGGTCCCGCACGGATGTCGCGACAAGTAGGGCGGCACCGTGCGGGTCCCGCACGGACGTCGCGACGAGCAGGGGCGACGCCCCGCGGGTCCCGCACGGACGTCGCGACGAGCAGGGCGACGCCGCGCGGGTCCCGCACGGGCGTCGCGACGAGCAGCGGGGAGGGCAGCGCGCAGGCCCCCCGAGGGCGCTTCGACAGACGGGAAAACCGCCGCGCGCCCCGAGCGCACGGCGGGATGAAAAACTCCGAAACCCTAAAAAAATTTCGCTCCGCGCGCGGCAGGAAGAAGGACTGCAGCGGAAGTATAGGGGCCCACAGGCCAAGGTAGAACGGGCTCTGATAACATGTGAAAATAGTAGAAGGTGGGGCCTAGGCTTAGTAGCCTAGGCCCACACTAGGAGGTAGGCAAGGTGAGTTCGAGTGGGGTTTCTCCTAGGGGAGAGTATCGAGAAATTGGAAGGGAAGTGATTTCACTAGCAAGAGTTGGGATACAAGTACAAAGCCCCAAATGGGGTTGTACTCATTACAGAGTACCCCACTGCAGGCTAGACAGCAAATATATTCTGATAGACCGTTACGTCGGAGGGCTGAAGCCGGACATCTCGCACGAGATACTGCTACGCGGGCTCTCGAATTTCAACGAGATCCTCGCGCTCGCCGAGAAAATCGATATCCTACGCCGACCGAGACCGGGGTCCTATTACGGACATCGTCCTCGGGGACCGACCGAGCACGCCACTGTACATGCCGTCGCAGCGAATGCAGCTGCCGCACCGTTTAGAGGGCGCTGCTTTGCTTGCAACCGGCCGGGCCATCGCAAGAGCGAATGTTCAGAGGAGCTAAGGCGTCGAGGAGCAGAGCAGGGGAAGGAGTCTCGAAGGCAGGGAAACGCCAGCAGTCAGTAGAAGTTGGGCCAACTACTGACGAGACTGCCTGCTCGCCCAACCACACCGACCCTCACCGAGTCACAGTACCGATTCACGCCATCGATCGGGCTCGGATGAATAAGGAGGGTACAGCGACGGATTACCCGGTACTGATCCACGGGAAAATACAGGGAGCAGCAGTGAAGATCTTCATTGACGGAGGAGCAAGCCACAGCTTAGTTAATACCGCAACCACACGAAGATTACAGTTAACGCTTAACCGATGTTTACCTGAGATAGATGCACGCTTAGTCGACGACACACCCCTGGCCATACGGGAAAAGGTGGAGCGCGTAAAAGTCCGCTGCGGGGGGAACTTTGGGTTTACACAGGAAATGCTCGCGACGACACTGGATGGGCACGACATTTTATTGGGACGTGATTGGCTGCGACGGTACACCCCACGGATCGATTGGACGACGGGGAGCTGCACAGTGCGAAGTAGTGGTAACTGGGTCGTTCTACCTCGCTGGCAGCCACCCAAATCTTCGACGGTCCAGGTCAACGCCATCACGATGAAACGGGCTGTCGCTGCTGGAGCTGATGTGTACGCAGTGGATATCGCACTCGTAGAAAAAGATGAGCAGCCGAGTGATTTGGAGAAATTGCTGGCAACTGTACCGACCGAACTACAGGCACTACTGAAACAGTTCCCGGGGATATTTCCGGATGTTTTACCACAGGGGCTGCCACCTCAGCGGGCGCACGACCATAGGATCGAGTTAGAACCGGGGGCACAGCCAACTGTACAGCGGCAATTTCGACTGACACAGCCCGAGCTCGACGAGTTAAGGAAGCAGTTAGATTACCTGTTAGAGAAGCAGTTTATCCGACCGAGCTCGTCACCGTTCGCCGCACCGATACTGTTCACACCGAAAAAAGACGGAGGGTTCCGCATGTGCATCGACTACCGAGCGCTTAACAGGGTAACAGTCAAATCGCGATACCCCATCCCCCGCGCCGACGAACTGATCGACCAACTGCGAACAGCACGAGTCTTTTCGAAAATAGATTTACGGGGAGGTTACCATCAGATTCGGGTCGAACCATCGGACTGCGCCAAAACAGCATTTAGGACTAGGTACGTGTCATTCGAGTATACAGTAATGCCATTCGGGCTGACGAACGCGCTTGCGACATTTCAGATGACCATGAACGAGGTGTTTAGACCACTTTTAGATAAATGCGTGATAGTTTACCTGGACGATATTCTAGTTTACAGCCGGGATAAGCAACAGCACTTAGTGGATCTTGAAGCAGTTTTTAAGGTTTTGGAGGAACATCGGCTACTCACCAAGGGCTCCAAGTGCGAGTTTTTTCGGGACAGGCTAGAGTTTTTGGGTCACGTCATTTCGGAGGCTGGGGTTGAGATTGACCCAAAGAAGCTGGATACAGTAAAAGCGTGGCGTGTCAGAACATATATGTAGCTTATGCTGTTGTGTAGGCTACAGTGGGGTATACCATAGGGGGTACAACCCAATTAGGGTTTTGCTATTTGTACTCACTTCACTCATAGTTCATTCATTCTCGTTCTATTTTCCACATGGTATCGAGCAGGTTCCCCCGTGGGAACTGTGCTTAGGGCCCACCACTTTTAAACCTTTTTTTTTTCTGCCCGGAGCGCGCTCCGGGCCCTCGCTCTCACTCTTTCGGCCTGCCCTGCGGCCCCCTAGCTGCCCGCGCGCGCCCGTTCCGGCCCCTAGCCGCTCGCGCGCCGCCCGTTCAGGCCCCTAGCCGCCCGCGCGTCGCCCGTCCCGGCCCCTAGCCGCTCGCGCGCCGCCCGTTCCGGCCCTTAGCCGCCCGCGCGCCGCCCGTCCCGGCCCCTAGCCGCTCGCGCGCCGCCCGTTCAGGCCCCTAGCCGCCCGCGCGCCGCACGTCCCGGCCCCTAGCCGCTCGCGCGCCGCCCGTTCAGGCCCCTAGCCGCCCGCGCGTCGCCCGTCCCGGCCCCTAGCCGCTCGCGCGCCGCCCGTTCCGGCCCTTAGCCGCCCGCGCGCCGCCCGTCCCGGCCCCTAGCCGCTCGCGCGCCGCCCGTTCAGGCCCCTAGCCGCCCGCGCGCCGCACGTCCCGGCCCCTAGCCGCTCGCGCGCCGCCCGTTCAGGCCCCTAGCCGCCCGCGCGCCGCACGTCCCGGCCCCTAGCCGCTCGCGCGCCGCCCGTTCAGGCCCCTAGCCGCCCGCGCGCCGCCCGTCCCGGCCCCTAGCCGCTCGAGCGCCGCCCGTCCCGGCCTCACACCGCCCGTGCGCCGCCCGTCCCTGCTGCACGCCGCCGTCCCGGCCCCCCCCACGCCGCCCGTTAGCCGCCGTGCAGCCTGAGCCGCCCGAGCCGTCTGCGCAGCTAAGAAGCCGAGCCGCCCGAGCCGCCTGTGCCGCTGACTGCCCGAGCTGCCCGAGCCGCCTGAGCCGCCCGAGTCGCCCGAGCCGCCTCCCCCCCCCCCTTTTTCCCGTCGCCTGTCGAGGCGACCCGAGGGGGGCCGCTTGCCAGCTGAGGGGTGGCAGGTGTGTGGTCTCCCCTCCTTCTCCTCCTCCTTCGTCTCGAGCCGCCCTGCAGCCGAGCCGCCTCGCCGCCGAGCCGCTCTACACCCGAGCCTCCCAGCAGCCGAGCCGCCCTGCAGCCGAGCCGCTCTACACCCGAGCCTCCCAGCAGCCGAGCCGCCCTACAGCCGCGCCGCCGGGTCGCCGAGCTGCCGAGCTGCAGTTGCTGCCGAGCCGCTCTGCCGCCGAGCCGCCCGAGTCGCCCGAGCCGCAGAGCCGCCGTGCTGCCGAGCCGCTGAGTCGCCGAGCCTACTCTACCCACCACTGGTGAGCCCCTGCCCTGCTAGAACGCTGCGCGTCGCCTGCTTGCCTGCCTGCCTCCCTTTTTGGCTTGCCTGGCTGCCTGCCCTTACTGCTGCTACTCCTGCTCCTGCCTCTACTGGTGGAGCCAGATGCAGCCCCATCGACGTCTGCGTGAGTCCCTCACGCCCCAGCAGCTGCGTGACTGGTACGCTGGTTGGGGCTGTAGGGGTGGTGGCGCTACTACTGCTACCACTCCTGCTGCTTCTACTACTGGTGGCGGCCAGATGCAGCTCCCGCGACCCCCCCGCGCGTCTCTCACGCCTCAGCAGCTTCGTGAGTGGTACGCTCAGAGTAGAGGGTCTCTCAGTTCTGTTCGCTGCTCTTACGTGATTCTCACTGGTGCTCGGACTGGTCAGCCTTGTGGGACACCTAGTCATACACCGTCCCGTTGCTTCGCCCGTCTGAGCGACGCCTGGCGTACCGTGTTTGGCGACGAGGCTGAGCTCCCCGACTGGGTGGAGTTGCTTAGGCAGAGGGTAGATATATTTGCTCTTGACTATGATGCTATTCTCACTGCCATGTATGCATTGCCTACTAGTGCTGACCGTGCCGGTCACCTGGGCGTACCGCCTGACCCGGGTATAGGACCTGCTGCTCTAGCTACTGGTGAGGCTGCTGCTGCTCTCGGTGCTAGTGAGTCTCCTGCTCCAGGTACAGGTGCAACTGCTGCTCTAGGTGCTAGTGAGTCTGCTTCCTCAGGTGCGGGTGAGG